CATTCAAGCCACCGAAGAGATCAAGAAAGTGACGGTGAATGCTGCTCGTGTAGATGAAGACGATCCTACCTCACAGCTTCTGAACAGATTTTCAGATTGGCACAGGCTAAAAAAGGCAGTTGGATGGCTGCTTCGAATCAGAGCTACGCTTCTCATCCGAGCGAAAACGAGAAAGAAGTTAAATGATGGCACGGAAGACGTGCAGAGCAAAAACGTTTCTGCGCGCCTCACTGTGCGCGACCTTCAGGACGCAGAATCTGCAATCATCAGATTCGTACAGCGACGGGTCTTCCCTGAGGAGTTGACCAGAACTCATGTGAAGAAAGGCAGCCCTCTGTATCGCCTTAGTCCACTCGTAGTCGATGGGACTCTGACCGTCGGAGGTCGTCTGAAGAACAGTGGGCTTTCAGATCTGGTGAAACATCCAAAGATTCTTCCCAAGCAAGGCCACGTCACAGACCTGATCATCCGTGACATGCACGAAAGAACTGGTCATCAGGGACGGGAACATGTTCTGGCGGCCTTGCGCTGCGAGTATTGGATTGTGAGCGGGAACACAGCTGCTGTCCGCAGAGTTCTGTCCCAGTGTGTTGGGTGCCGGAAACGACAGGCGGGCGTCGTCACCCAGGTGATGTCTCATCTACCAGAGGAACGTGTAACCCCAAACGAACCTCCTTTTACGCGTGTTGGTACTGACTACTTCGGGCCATTTTTCACAAGAAGCGGCAGGAAGCAGATGAAGAGATACGGCGTGCTGTTCACTTGTCTCACAACCCGCGCTGTGCATATCGAGATTGCTGACAGCCTGGACATCAGCTCCTTCAGTGCACTGCGTCGCTTCCAGGCAAGACGAGGTCAAGTCAGGCATATCCGCTCTGACAACGGAACTAACTTCATCGGCTCCGATCGAGAACTGCAAGAAGCGGTAAAGAACCTGAACAGAGACCAGGTTCACGAATTTTTGTTGAAAAGAGGCATCAAATGGGTATTCAACGCGCCAGGCGCTTCGCATCATGGGGGTGTGTGGGAGCGGCTTATCAGAACTTTCAGAAAGATATTAGGCGCGCTTCTCAAAGAGCAGACCCTGCCTGATGAGTCACTCCGTACGCTGACGTGTGAAGTCGAGGCTGTGATGAACAGTCGACCCTTGACACCAGTTTCCAGCGATCCAGCAGATCTGGAACCACTGACGCCGAACCATCTGCTGCTGCTCCAAGGATGTGCTGAACCCTGTGGCGTGTTTGATGAGCAGGACACGTACTCCAGACGACGGTGGCGCCAGGTGCAGTACCTGGCAGACGTTTTCTGGAGACGCTGGATGGCAGAATATCTGCCTCAGCTGCAGCAAAGACAAAAGTGGATGAAGGTCAAGAGGAATCTGTCTGTCGGCGACCTGGTCTTGATCGTCGATCTGAATCTACCCCGACCACAGTGGCCTCTGGGTCGGGTGACTGAAGTGTTCCCAGGTGCACAGGGTCAAGTCAGGACTGTGACAGCTAAGACCGCCAGATCTGTATTCAAGCGGCCCATCTCCAAACTGGTACTGGTGCAGGAAGCAATTGTGTGAGCGCCGGACGTCCTTACCTGCCCTTGTTGTTGAACCTGTGTTGGTTCAAGGGGGAGGGTGTTGGCGCAGCGTATCCGGCGCCGATACTTCGGCTGACTGATCCTCGGAAGTGGAAGAACCAGCGGTTTACAACGAACGAGTTTGTTTGTGTATTGTGGAACCAGCCGGCTCAGCTTTGGCTCAGCTGACCGTGTCAAGGCCGTGTCATTCCGCAAAATGTCTTTGTTTGCTTAGTTAGTTTAGTTATGTGTTATTTTGAAAGATTTTGTCAACGGCTAAATTAAATAATTATAGTGGACAGTGCAGAACCTCGGTGAGTAATTTCATATACTTGCCTATCTACTACTGTTACGTTCCATATCCTCGGCGTTACGTTCCATATCCTCATAATTGTCAGTATTTGTGTCAGAATTTGTTATGACGAATGCTTGTTTACTTTTGTGTTTTGCTTTGTTTCAGAAACCACTTTTACACTCTCACTCGATCATGTTCAGTTCAAATATATCGTCAAGTTCAATTCAAATAAATCACAAGTGATGAGTCGGTGCGTTTAGAGATCTGACCGTCTAAGAATTGGAAGAACAGAAAGGTAGCCGGCGACAACACGTTCTAAACATATCTTTCCATTTTCCAAAATGTTGAATATTGTGTTATCTATAGGGTATTACCTATATCGAGAAAAAGTTTTTTTTTGGGGGGGGGGGGTAAAAACAAAGTTAAAAATTCGAAATAGCATTTTAGTGGCCCTGTTAATTCCATGCCTTTTTGTGTTGGATATTTTTTTTAATCTTCAACAGTGGAGGCGTGACGGCTCTTCCCGTCACACTTTTTAGGTCATAAATGACGTCATTTATGGCCAATCTATCATAGTCACTTGAAACATGAAATTAAATTGAAGCCCTGAGGGATCCTGAAAGTCTAGTGATTAATAAGCATGTGGATGTGGATGACCTTTGGAAGAAGTGAATGAAAAGAATATAACTTTTTAAGCTCAGTATAGTTTAGTACCTACTTTGGGCTTTGAGGTGTTCTTCACCTTTGCTTCGTGAGAATCACTTAGCAACTGTGCACCTGACTGTGGAAACTACCTGACAGCAGTGAAAGAACTGTGTACTTAAATACTTTGTGGCAACGTCACTTATCAGAAAGAGCACAGCCACAAATCCATCTCCCGAGTCTAAGGGTAAGTGAGTACCACGCATGGTTATGGTTCCCAGGCAATGCCATTGGCCAGGGTGTTTGCCAGGTGCTCTGAGGTAAGTTCTAGTTCCAGCTATCTGGTACAATCAGCGCTGCCAGTACACAGTACAGTATGTGAAAGTGGTGGGCGCTGAGCAGCGAGTACCTAATGCTAAGTGTGTTTGTGTGTGTGTGTACTGTGTGGGGGGGGGGGGGGGGGCTGGGAGTGAGGAATGGCAGCTGGTTGTTGCAGCAGGATACAGTACCTAGTTGAAGAGCAGGATCAATAAAATTAGGTAAGCACAATGTTCAAAGCTAGCTTTCAGTGCTTGGGACTTTGATTGGAGACAAATTGTCATTAAGGACTTATTGGCAGCCTGATGGCCCTGACCAATATCCACCCACTACCTTTAGTCATTTACATGAAAAGTTGAACCTGCTTCACAGATCAAACCACTATAATTATATCACTGAACTAAAGAATACCTAGCCAATAGTCTAGGTTAATCTGCCTGTTAGCTTTTTTTCTGAATATGTAACAATGAATGAATACCTTATACCACTGACCAACAATGAATACAATCAAGGTCAGACTTACCAACATTGGCAAAACAAAATGTAAGAGGTCTGTCCATATAACTGAGGATAATTTGAGCTATGAATGGAAGAAGTGAAAACAACATATTATTCATCTGGCCTTTAAATCCTGCAGGTACTAAACCAAGGAAGTAAGTTAACGAAGTAAGTATGGACTAAGATTGATGTAGTTATCGTGCATATGATGTAAAATAATATGCTTATATATCATCTATAAATGAAATAGTTGATGTCTGTGATGTCAGGATATACTTCACATTCACATTAAGTTTCACATATTGGAAATAAGGTGAAAATTAAGACCCTTGCCCATCACAAGAACAATGTCCTATCACTGAGATCTACCTACTTCTCAAAGATGAATCACAAGAAAGATATCACAAGTCTGAAATGGAAGATTTTCATGATAACCTACCTAGTACCTACTTTTTATAAATGACAAACTGTAACATGCTACAGCATTCCTGACCCACAATGACATTTCTATGCATGAGCTTGAAGTGCATGTAGTAATGAAGAAAAACAGCAACAAAAATGAAGCAGAATTTCATTAAAAATGAGAAGACCAATGAAACACACCCTATGAATACACAAAAACTTGCCTAACCTGACCTAATGTAGCACACTAACCCACAACATAAACACAAAACACAATGTTCAAATTCTGCTGCAGCAGTTTCATGTTTTCTCAGCCCTCTCATCTACGCCTTCTTCTGGCACACAATGTGGTGCTGCATGTAACTTTTGAAAGGAGCAAGAGGAAAATTTATAACTTAAAAGGTTGGATTTTATAGGTAATACTACATCAACATTGGTATTTTAATGCCCAAATCTGTCATGGAAATCTGATCCCACTTAAGCAGGTAGGTCATTTCAATGATTTGAAGTAGGTACCTACATAGCTTCAACACTGGCTTACATGAACCGTACAATGATATAGGGAAACTGTGCAACAAGCCCTGATGGTTCGTGTTAAAGTGATTCACAAATCACAGGCGTGAATACTGCAATGAGTGCAGTAAAACAAAATATTTGTCTGAACCTGTTACCTAAATGTTGCAAATGATGGTCAGTAGCTAGTGGGCACAGTTCCAAGCAAATAAATCAGTATAATTGCTAGCTCAAATGAAACATTTTACACAAACGAGCAGCGCACAGGGCCCTGTTTCACCGGTGATAGCAGCACGCTACTATCAAATTGCGCGAGCTGACGTGATGTGATGAGGTCACACTAATGACGTTTCGTGTAATCCGTGAGCTGCGTTTGGAACAGAGTTGCTGTCTCGTTGAATGCGTTTGATAGCATTTGTTTGATCGCACGGCCGTGAAGATGTTAGCAGCAATATTTGATGACATCACACAGATTGACGGTGTCATGGTTTGTTGATGTTTCCATGGAAACCCAATTTGACACGTGTCACCGGTGAAACAGGGCCCAGGCCACAGGCACACTACGATAACAATTGGCAGTCACCAAGCAATGTGCACACATTTACATTTTACAAGTCAAGAAAACGACCTGGATCAGGGTTAGGGTGGTTGCAGTTCAGGATATATTGTATTGGTATAATGAATGAAAAGTTGCAGTTCAACCAAGAGTTCAACGTGACGTTGTTGACGTGCTGAGCTCAAGTTACGCAGCAGTACTCGTACTTACCCAATCGGATTCGTATCCAAATTATGTTACAGCTTCATTCAGAGCGATGTAGAGGCCCCGCAAATTTGCATCACTTTAACAAAAATTCACCAAATTATCAATATTGTCAAATTTCTGCAGCTTTAGCTTCCGCCGCTGCGCCACTCCTCACACACGAATCGCCGCGCAAGAACTGACAGGCATTAGCTGAAATAGTTCGAAAGCAAAAATGAAATGTAATATATGACGTCATCGATTTGCGCAATCTGATTGGTAGCAGACTGGTTTTTGATTCACCTTTTTTGGATCGATTTGATTTTTGTTTGATTCAATCACCGTTTGATTCCTTCAAAAAAATTGGTGAATCGATTCCTTTTGATTCAGAGAATCAAAAAACAATAAAAGGAATGATTCACGTTTGATTCAGCCAAAATTTTTTTGAATGATTCTTTTTTGATTCAATTAGAAAATAAAATATACAAAATATCAGGGATAGTATTGTATTTGTTGTGTTCTTTTTGTTGTCATGTAATGGCAGTAGTGTTAACCCGCGCCCCACTGGGGGGGGGGGGCTATTTATAGCCCTCCTCCAGTTTTTCTGCAATAACTTCCAAACTGCTTGACGTATCAACGCCAAACTTTCAGTACCTTCGGCTGCATCAATTTGACACGTTGTGTCAAAATTTGAACTTCGTATCTGTCATAGATCGGCCGGAAATGACGTCAGAGTGACGTCATGTTCGGCCGATTTCGAAGCAAAACATAAAACCACGGGAATCGCTCCTAAGAGCTCAGTTTTTAAAGGGACCCTCCCACCTTCAAAAAAGTTAATCAATTGGCATGAAAGTGATGTCGCTCGATTCAGAAAGAGTAAAAACGAATATCTACCAAATTTCACCGAAAAATATTCACCGGTTTTCAAGACATTAAACTTTTACTTTTGTTTACTTTTTGGGATCTCCGCTGTTCCTAGCGACTTCATTTTGGAAGTGCGGCGTTTGCGGCAGATGTTGCGCGCAAATAGCATATATCCACCACTGCTTCACAAAGATGTTAGTATAAGCTTTTAAAATCGTTAGATCACCGCTGACGTCACAAATTCTAAGAGGGCATCCCAATGCATTAGCCCCTTAGAATCCGAAAACAGCAAGTTTGAAATTCCATATCTCCGAATTAAAGCATTTCTCGATGTTTTGAGTGCCCAAACCGGTATTTGCAGGCCATGGCCACCAATTTGGCTATCTCAACTCAAAACTAATGTTAAGGTGGGATGGTCACTTTAACCCGCGCCGGGCCGGTGCTCTGAGATTCCGCGCCGGGCCGGGGGGGGGGTGTCTGAACACCCCCTTCTAACTCGGCTCCTGGGCCACGTAGCGACACGCGGTAAGCGGCAATCGAAAGAACGTCCAAAATAAGGACGAAAACACTTCGGTCATTTTTTGGGTCAGGTCAAAGGTCAGGTCACCAGAGGTCACCAAAGGTAAAATGTTGACTATTTCAGCATTTTGGAAACTGCCAACGGCTACCTCGGGAACCGATAGAGCTACAGTGCCGCAGAAAAGCGCATTCGATAGCCCTTTTACAGGCCTTTCTGAATAATGTTCTCAGATTTGACCTCAGGTCAACGGTTTAGCCTCCAGACCAGAGGGCAAAAACTCCAAAAATAGGTAGCCGTTTTTACGAAAAGCGTTTTTTTCGGCGATAACTTTTGACTCAAAATAGCCATGACATTACTTTTGCCAGCATCGTGTTCCTCTCGTCGAGACGCGTCGAATGAACTATAATTTGACCTTGAAAAGTCAACTTGAAAATTTGACCTCAGGTCAAGGCCATGACCTGACCGGAAAAGGTCATGTTGCATATCAGTCGATCCGCACCGTCGAGCCGAAAGCATTTAAGGCGTTTTCAGCGCTCTAGCACGCCTCTATCAGAAGTTATTAGCGAAAAACTGTTAGATTCTGTTCGTGACCTGAGATGACCTCGGGGACATAACGAGGGGTCACAGTTGCCATTTTCCGGTTCAGTGTGTCAATTTTACCTGTACATCCCGATGTTTGAGAGTGTCTAGAATGGCGTTCGTGCAAAACAGACGCTTTTCAATTTTCTCCCGTTGACTTATGGAGAGGCCGAAAAATTGACCTGACCTTAGGTCACCGATATCGAAATTCCGATATAAACATTTTATAGATACTATTGCTCTAATCAATCGCTGAAAGTTTCAAGGCAATCGATCAATCGGTAAAGCTATGACGAGCATTCTTATTTTTTTCTGAGGTTAGGTCACTTGGCGTGACCTGGTGACCTGACCTAAGGCGACCTGGATCTGAAATTTTCACAACATGTGCGGAAAAGATGCCCAAATAGGTGTACCAAAAACGGTGGTGCGGAGCTCCGCCGTTTTTGATATATCTGCGAAAAACCGCAGGGGGGGGGGGGTGTTCACCCAGCCAGCAATCCCACTCCGTTCCCGATCGGGATTTTCGGACTCAGCCCGCACCACCCCGATCGGGACCGGAGTGGGACGGGATTGGGAAATGAGACACTTTGTACGGGCTGGAACGGTCCGGATATCCCAACCTACCCCGCACGGCCGATTGGGAGATCCCGCACGTATCCGGACCGCCTTATGACGTTTTAACAAGCGCTGAACTCCGATCCCGATCGGGATTCCCCAAATCTCCCCGTACAACCGGTTCGGAAATCCCGCACGCATCCGGACTGCCTTATGGCATTTTAACAAGCGATGAACTCCGATCCCGATCGGGATGTCCCAACTCGGCCCGCACGGCCGGTTTGGGAATACCGCAGGCATCTGACATATTAACCGCAGTCTTATATCCGCAGATTGCTGTTATGCAGATGTGACCACTTTGCTTGCGCCACCGCAACCCCCTCGCCTCTTCATTATTCTCCAACTCAACCTTTATAATGCCTGCACGACAAAATGAATTACATTGGACACTGAAATATATTCACAAATTTACTGGTTGCACACAGGTCAAATTTTCACAAATTCACAGCCTGGCCAGCACATTCGTGGCGTCGGCCATCATCTTAGCGCCGCTGCAAGGCGCTGGCACAGCGGACTCACTTCCGGTGTTCACAGCCATTATAGCAGGCCTGCGCCTTGTTCGTGTCGGCTCCTCTGCGGACAGTGTGTCCGTCTGCCGTCACGAGCTTCAGAGAGCCACCGCGAAACTAGACGGCTGGCATCTGGTCGGGCGGTTCACCACTGTGCGAAGAGAGCATCTGAAAATGACCAAGAGGTTATTAATCAAAGTCTGGGACACACTAAAAATCACTAAGAAATAATCCACATCTGACATTTCACATGGTACCTATCAGGGCCTCGGCTAAGGAATTTTGACTGGTGGGCCACTTGGGCAGCGACATGGACTGACCTTCGTAGCCATAGCCCCCCCCCCAAATTTTCGATTTCTCCCCAGATTTCGGCCATTTTATTCTGCAAAAAACGTCAGGATGGCATTCAAAAAATGTAAAAAACAAAACGGGGCTCGACCCCCCCCCCCCCGACTCTTCAGAGAGAGAGGAGAGAGTAGGGACCCACAACCCTCTCAGTGGTGATACTCCCGCGGTGCCACTGGCGGATCCAGGCTTGCGTTTGGGGGGGGGGGCCAACTCATGCAGGAGCCAAACCTAGGGTACCCCCAAATCCTGTTTTCTCATCGGATTTAGGCCACTTATTTTTCGTCACAGCCCTGACACTATGAATTTTTTTTTTTAACTAAAAAGAAAAATATATAAATGGTAGCCCACCCGACCCATGCCTTTATATTACTTTGTAAACACTTACCATTGTTTTTATCGACCAGTTAAAGGGACCCTCCCACCTTAACATTAGATTTGAGCTGAGATAGCCAAAATGGGGTCCCTGGCTCACAATTACCGGTTTCGGCACGCACTCACAACATCGAGAAATGCCTTAAATCGGAAATATTGAATTTCAAAATTGCAGCATTTTGATTCAGAGGGGCTAATGCTTTTGGATACCCCTCTGAATGTGTGACGTCAGCGGAGATCTAATGATTTTTTAATATTTTACTAAAACGTTTGGTAGCATGCGGTGGTATAGGCTGCTTTGCGCGCAACAAATGCCGCACTTTCAAATAAAGTCGCTAGGAACAGCAGCGGATATCCCAAAAAGTAAACAAAAATAAAAGTCTAATCTCTTGAAAACCGGTGAATATGTTTCGATAAAATTTGGTAGATATTCGTTTTCGCCCTTTCGGAACCTAGCGGCATCACTTTCATGCCAATTCATTAACTTTTTTGAAGGTGGGAGGGTCTCTTTAACCCGCTTCGAGTCAGTGCTTGGGTTCCTTTGCGGGCCGGGAGGTGGTAAAACAGCCCTGTCTAACTCGGCTCCTGGGCCACGCCCTGATTGAACTATGTTTCATTATCGTTTGGGGGAGGGGGAAAACGGGCCACTTTAGGCCTCTGGGAAGGGGGCATGGCCCTAAATGCCCCCTCCCTGGATCCGCCAGTGTAAGAAGAGACCATTGGAGCTGCAGTTGGGTACCTCAGACATCAGGGTACGCCCTCAGATGTATGTATAGGACTCGCATGGAGACCTCTTATGCTATAGTGTACTGAAAGGACCCAAAGGAGCCTGTCTATATGGGCTCCCGGAGATAGACGTGGGCCCTCAGGAGCCCGCCAGAGCCCCAATGAGGGATAAGTGAAGGATACCAAGTGCCTGCAATTGCATATTGCATAAGCCATAACGCCTTTACAAATCAATATATTATGCATCAGTGGCAGATCCAAGGGGGGCCACATGGGTCATGACCCCCTTGGTGCCCGGGGGCACCACAGGCCTGTCAGGGGCACCACCGGCCTAGTAGGGGCACCACCAGCCCGCCAGGGGCACCACAGGCCTAGCAAGGGCACCACGGGCCTGTCAGGGGCCCCACAGGCTTGTCAGGGGCACCCCAGGTCTGTTAGGGACACCAGAGACCTGCCAGGGGCGCCGCCGGCCTCGCAGGGGCACCATGGGCCTGTCAGGGACACCAGAGGCCTAGCAGGGGTACCACAGGCCTTACAGGGGCACCACCGGCCTTGCAGGGGCACCTTGGGCCTGTCAGGGGCACCACAGTCCTGTCAGGGCCCAGGGGCACCAGCGGCCTAGCAGGGGCACCACAGGCCTGCCAGGGGCACCACCTGTCTAGCAGGGGCACCATGGGC